TGGAAGAGGAAGCAAAGGGTGGAGTCAATAGGAGCCGGTGACCACAGACTGCTCCCTGAACTCCCCACACAGCCTACACACCAGCCTACACAACAAAGCCACACACTCATCTGCTGATGGCCTTCCTTCAAAAAGAAAACCCTGTGTGCATTTAATGTGATTAGGGGTGTTCAGTCAGCTGCTTCTCAACTGAGATCAAATAAGGAGGCTCAGATGGATGTGACAGCTGTGACCCACACATGTGAATCCAAATGCTAAAATGCTCTTTCAAAGCCATTTTTCTTGCTCAGAATTCTGATAACAAATAACAACTGTGAATAATTAACATCAGCAATGAAGAGAAATGGTTGAATCTGCTGACAAATAAATCAATAGGTCATGCTAAATTATCACTATCACTGTTTGGAAGAGACTAGCTGAAATATGCAGAAGCATCAAGTGAGTGGTGCAAAATTTATCATGACAAAGGGTGTTTTTTTTAAGCATTAGCTATGGATAGGCTGATTATTGGGGTCATTATTCTGTGTTTTTGCATGCTGATTTGTCACAATACAAAACTGCCTCTCTCTGTATGACTTTCTGTGATATAGGGTCCTACCCACATAATGTTCTGATTGTTTAAATGCTATGGACAAAAGCCTATCACCACTGAGCACAGAGCAGAACACAGTCTGAAGCAGCTCCCGTAGTGGAGCTGTGGTTTGGACTGCATATCGCAGATATAGCTGACCTTGCAATAAATGCTGCAATTCTTTCTGCTGTACGACCACACAACCATGACAAGCATGCACAGTTTCCCAGATGCATTAATGATCAAATGCAATATTTTGCAGTGACATCCAATGAAGGCAAGGATAGCAGGCTTGCTATCAGGCCAGCTGGAGGGGTGAAAGTAAGACAATGCTGTCAAAACTGAAGAAAACCAAGACATATTGGGAATAGATAAGGAAAAAGGATTACAGTGGCGAAAGCTACACTAAAACAGCAAAAGGGCAAAGGGTTATGCTAGTGGTTAAGTTAGCAGGCAGCTTCAGACTACACTGAATATTCATCCATCAGTTTTCTACTGCTTATCCAATTTAGGGTAGCTGGAGCTTATCCCAGCTGCCACAGGGTGAGAGGCAGAGTACACCATCGACAAGTCACCAGTCTGTCGCAGGGCTAACACAGAGAGACAGGTAAACATCTGCAGTCGGTGTACCCGTATAGAAAGGCCTTGGCCAGATGGTGGATTTAAACCAAGGACCTTCTTGCTGTGAGGCAACAGTGCTAACCCCAATAGTGCATAAGGCTTAAACAGACACTAAAACACCATAACAGCTAATACTTAAAACATAAAAAAATAAGCATTAAAATAGCAGAATAAAAACATGACAACATGCTATTTTTAAAAAAATATATTAAAATATTGGTTATCCTATAATTACTAATGTCTGTAATCAGTCCTGAAAAAGTTAAATCACTCGATCCAAGGTATTAACGCTGTAATTGCTCAGAAAAGCCAGTAAGACTGGGATGTAACTTTATATTAAGTTATCCAATCTCCTCCCCCAACAAAAGGGTCTTGACCTGATCTGCCCTATACCATGTGGTGGCAAAGCCACGGTTGTTTTAATTATATTCCTAATGACAAAGTAACTTTCTTGGCTACATCATGCTGTCAATTAATGAGTCCAGAATCATATTAAGCTTAAGGACCAAATCTGCTCAGTCGCTGCACTGCTTTTTCAAATCTATTTCTGAGTCTGTAATTTGGGGTGGCTCCATTACTACATTATTTATTTAGATTGTGAATCATGTGGCCCCAAGAGAAGGAACCACAAAACTATGGTCTTCAATTACAGTCCTCACAGCCAGTGGCCACGCCTTTTAACAAATCCCCTCCTCAAAAATCCTGTCCACACTCTAAAGCGAAGTGAAGAAAACTAACTTCAAAAGTGTTTACATCACAATGTCCCCTAGGACCACATGGCTGCTAACAATGTTTTTACGAGTCAAAAACCTGTACACATTTTTATCCAAACACAAAACCGAAAAAAAACCCCCCTAAAACTAAAAATGCTGGCTAGGTTATCGTATGTGTTCATGCTAAGAAAATCTGGCTGTAGAGGTACCATGTTGGACTGGAAAATCAACAAACACACTTGAACACGCCTTTGAGGCTAATCAGCTTAGATTGCAACATTGCATTGTTTATCGGTTTGCTGTGCTGATTTATGAACCAGTGTTTTGTGGGAACAGACACAAAAAGAAAGGCACGAAGAGGCTTCTTTAAAAACATTTGTTGAAAGCAACTGAAATGAAACTGACTGTAGCAGGAGGACAGGCGCAAAAGACAAGTGCTCAACCGATTAATCAGTTTACTATAAGAGCAGATATTATACAATTTAAGACAAGACATGGCTTCTCGGAGAGTTTTTGCTCAGTCTTCTAGGGTTTTAAAGCAAAAATATCTGCTCTTTAATTACAGATCTGACAAAACATGGCATCTCTGTACATCAGCTTAAGCTCTGGAAAACTGTAACACATATTGTTTGGATCAAGCATTTAAGCAAGAATATAATTAGAGATAAATCAATAGTAATTCTAAGTGTCTAGGCAAAAAGCACAGCTTTTAAAAGGCCATTAGTTACTGTTATATTGGGAGCCACACTTGTGCTGGGCAGCATCCTGAGCTTAATTTCATGCATGTTTGAATTTTGAAAATAATGGTGAACAGGCGAAATGCTCGCTCAGGTTTTCCAAGTGGTTTACATGCACTATATTGCCACTAGGAGCGCAGAAGAGTGTACTGAGATGATACCCATATTAACTCAGTTCCAATCATACACAATATTAACAATCCACAACCTGTGGGAAAAAAAAATCATGGTACGGAATAATTAATGATAAAACCACTTAAAGCATTAATAACAGTACATTTACATGACTAAAACAGAAAGGTGCCAAGAAATATCACAGTGTTGTGACATAAATCACAAAGTTTGACCTTGCATTAGTCTTATGAACATAGTCAAGTTAGAAACAAACAAATATTTGCCCTTAAAAGAGGGCAGAGACAAAATAAACACAATAGTTGGATCACGTATTTTGAGACCTTACTTGAATCACCTTGTTGCTGAATTGCGCTATATAAATAAACTTGCCTTGCCTTACTATGATTTCACTCGCTTTTCTCCGAGCTTTGTTCTTTATTTTTTGCCTCTATCGTAGAGTGAAGTGGATTTTTTTGTGTGTCACAAGTTGAGCAAACAGCTTCATCCCAACTCCTGTAGCGCAACGTTCTGTCAATTCGCCTCACTCTGTATGTAATCACACCGCATGAAAACTTCTGTTGGCATATGGTTTGAACACATCATAACAATGTGTCAACAGCTAGGGAAGTAAGGGTGGGCTTCCCTCATTACATTCAAGAACAGTGAAGCCATATGGGGGATGAAAAAAACAAGACTGGGGATGAACCCAAATGACTTGAGACCCAGAGAGGAGCTGGGTTTGTCGATTGTTGATTTTTCAATTGTAAAGAAATGAGACTCGCTTTGTGTCATGCTGTCTCTGTGCTGGACTTTCACTGGAGGCAAGTCTAAGGGAACTCTACTCGCACACAGCAAAAGGGAATCAGGTAGGGCAACGATATGAGGTTAGTCAAGGCTTTTTCAGAACCAGCTCTGCTGTGGAAATATTAATGCTAAGGAGCCAGTTTGACATCTAACCTAAAAGCAGAACAAGCAGTCTATTAAGAACCGAGTCTACTGAACACATGAGCACTACTGATAAGAGTCTAAGTGTGGTTTACTTATTATTTTGATTGGTTTTTTTCTTTTAAATGGTTTAAAAGAGAAGTGTTTTTTTTTTTGTATAAACCTTACAGATGGCCATGAAAAAGTTAATAGTAATAATAATAGATCTATTATGAACCATCCAGAATCTTAAAAAAATACCATCATGCAGTTGGTTTTTTTCCATACCGCCCAACACTATGTTACACATTACAATGAGCAATACAGTAAAAGTTGTTCTTTCGTGTATTGCTCTTGGATTCAGAAAAGAAAAGAACACTGGTGTATTTCTGGGTAGTATTTACTTAAGCATCCATCTGTGTTTGTGTCTGAGACACAGCAAAGCTCTCCAGCTGCTCTCCTCGGGACAGTGAGGGGGCTGGAAGGTGCTTCAGCTGGCATGCAGCCCAACTGCAGGTCAATACTTCTACAGACTCTGCGACTGCAGTGCATGCACTCAAATATGTCTTCATTTCCCCTGCCACCCCTTACCCCAAAGCTGAAGACTCTGCACTGACTCTCCTTCTGTCGTGTATCACATAACCTACAATCCATCTGTAACCAACCACTTGGCAAACTTTTCACAAAGGAGCCTCTTTTTTTCCCTAGCCATACGTGACACCCGGATTGTTCCATTTCTTGTCTATTTCTGTGCACCTCTAATCACTGCTTCTCCTCAGTTTGTAACCATGTGGGTGGGAGACAAACTAGCCGGTAAATCCCCCAAACGCCCTGAATGATGTTAGCCAAGTCATGATGTGACATGCTGTAAGTAACCTCAGCTTGAAGGTCTGCCCATTATCACCATAACACCAATCAGTGCCGTGTCTGAGTTATGTCTCCTGGAATAAGCTGAAAATCTTAACACAGTTAGCTTGTGTGTAACAGTCGCTCCGATGTAAAGAAGTGAACTGATGTTAACGGAGTTGAATTCAAATGGGGGGGAGGAGAGTGAGTTTTAGCTAACGGTCAACTGACGCAGCAGCTACTTTCCCATCAGTGTTAACGTAAAGATAACTGTCCACAGGCAACAACTAGCCTGCTTAAGCTTAGCTTAAATGCAGCAGGACGAGCCCACCACAAAACAACAAAAACTAGCCAGCCGGTTTGGGTAGTGGACTGTATCCGTGAGGACCCTCTCCGAGCAATCCTACTGCAACAACTTCTTTCAATGGCCTCAAAAGTATTATGGGAGGGATGATACAGAAACCGTTAACTCACCGGTAAGTCCGTATACGGTGAGGAGGGATATTAAAAGTCGCAGTCCGTTAGATGGCAAAGTCCTCCTGAGCGGTAATCTTTTCTCCATGATTCCTGTGTGTCTGTGCGCCTCGGCACTCCCGGATCCGTTCTCCTAGCTCCTCGCTCGTCCCTGCTCTCACTCTCTCTCTCTCTCTCTCTGGCTCGTGCTCCTGGGGAGCCTCTCTCCATAGCTACAGAACCGCGTGGGCTGTACCATTCTGCAAGTCAACAAAAAAACAAAACAAAAAAAAACACACACACACACACACACACACACATGAAACTTAAGAACGCACGCGCGCTGACCCACTCGTCTCCGTGTGTATACACTTTTAGCGCAGTTCTGAAATGCTTGTCATTGAGCCGTTTGTCTTTTTGTTTGTTGGTTTTCTTGTGGGATTTTTTTTTGGTACTTTATATATAGATTCGGGCAACATAAATATAGATAGCAGGGCTATCACGATCAGCACTCTAAATTATGTTTAATTGTTATTTTATTACGTTTAATTTCAGTTAGTTTCTCGTGTGGAGCCAGTTGTCGATGTTTGATTGTTAAGAAAAAAATTTAAATGTATATATCAAATGCATTTAGTTATTTATTCTTATTTTCGCTCATTTCTTTGTCTTCTTCTTCTCATTGTTATTATTATTATTATTATTATTATTAGTAGTAGTAGTAGTAGTAGTAGTAGTTGTTGTTGTTGTAGTAGATTTTCTCATTATAATTTCATTGGTATATGTCAGGGGGCTTCAAAGCCTAGAGCAGATACTACAATGTAAGCACTGACTCTTAGTAGACAACCCAGTCTTAAGAAAAAAAAAAATCTATCGTGGCTTGCTTGTATTGATTGTGTTGGGAAAACTTGCCCCAAACTGACGTTTCAGATAGCTTTGAGCTTTTTTAGATGTCACAGTATAGTTCAAGTATGCAATAGGCTAACTGCCAAACTGAAGTGACTTTATCCAGTCATAAAATAGACGACTTAGTCTAGTTTTACAGCAAAGAAAGGATGCTTTCAGAAATAAGTGATTCTTGTTTTTAATTTAATTTAAAAAGCGGCTAAAAGTAGAACTTTTTGGTATAAGCACTCTTTATCTTTTAAACAGTGTCAGTTCTTCCTGTCAAAGAAAATGAGGTTGTCTAAACATCTTGGATAACTTGCCATAGTGCTTCAGTGGATTTAGGCTGTCTTGGTATCGTCTGCCTGTTCACGCAATCCCAGACTGACTGCATGATTTGAAATCGGGTCTCCGTGGGGCCATATAAACCATCTGTTGCTGTATGTTTGGGCTGTAAAATATGGGACCGATCAAAAACCTCCCGGGTGATGAAAAAAAAGTAGAAACATCTAAACTGCTTAATTATTTTCACATGAAATATTACAACCTTAGCAATAGCAGTCATTGTTGTTGTTATTGTAGGGACAGCAGGATTAGCAAGAGGGAGTCGAAAACATTTTCATACGCAAGATTGATGAAATAGTACTACATTTATTAAGAGGCACAGTTTCATAAGACTGCCTTGATACAGCTGAAAGGACTTTTGTAGTCAGAAAGGATCAAATTTTGACTATGACTAGGCTCAAAAAAAGATATTGATTTCACCCCTAAGTTAATATAAACCTATCTGATAAGGATCATAAACAGTTTTATAAGAAAGAAGTACTAAAACCTCACATATAATGAAGTTTTGTTTGTTTATTTGTTTGTTTTTTTCTTCTTCTTTTTTGTGGAGCGAGTGAGGAATTTCCTTGTTTTAAGGTCTCACTTGTGCAAACAGACATTAAATGTGAACAGAACTATTTATAGCACAAATAACCATTTGCTTTTTAATCATGATTATCGTCTTCAGTGCAGCAACTGAACAGGCAAAGGTTCATCAAGTTGCTTAAGAATATACTAAAGATGCTTTTAGTGGGTTCACGGGTTTTGTGGGGATTAAAAACAGCAACCTACTGGTTACCCTTCAGTCCCTCTAATGACCAAACCCAATCTATTTTACATCACATTTTCATAAGCAGGTGTTGAGGAGATTGTAAGATGATATAAGTGCTGCTTTCACTTTAGCAAGTCCAGTCAATCACTTTATGCCCCTTCTAACCTCCTTAATTACAGTAAAATACACAAAATACGCATCATGAGCCATTCTCCCTCAGTCCTTTAGCACGTAAAAAAGGAAACTGACAATAACCCCTACACACACCCTCACACACCAGAAATGCTAACATTGCTGTACCATTAACCAAGCCTCAGTGCACACAGTGCACACAAAGGTTTTATTTTTTTAAAATCAGCTTATTAATGTTAACTCAGTCACAGATATGCTGAACTATCCTAAAACTGTAGTGGAAACAAGGAAGTGAATGTGAAAGTTAATATAAACCCCAGGAGATCAGTCACTGAAGGACAAAGCAATCACATGCAGGTACAGTGCTGGGGGAAAAAAAGTGTGCACTCATCAGCGTGAATGCAGACACACTTCGACTACTCTGTCCTAAAACAAAGTGGTAATGAAACACTCTTGCATTGTTCTTTTCTTTGAGATAATTACAGCTTTTACACATTCAGGAATCCGACGCTGTGTGCAGCACTGTGTTATTATCACGCACTGAAGCTTGAGCTGATAAACTTGCTCGCTCAGCAATTTTAGGCGAACATCATATTTATTCACTGAAGATAAGCAAAAATGCTTGTTTCGATGTGCCTCCCTCGCGTTGAGCCAGTTTCATTCTGCAGTGATGTCTTTATAGACTCTATTAGCTCCGAGTCCTCATCAGGGCAATGTGAACTCTGCAGGGAACCTCCATCTCCTGCAGAACTGAACTCACTCCCTCTCAGTGCTATAGCTCAGCTTTACAGTGATTAAAGCATGACCCGGGATGTGTCACCACACTGTACCCCCTACCTTCATACCCTCTGGTGGTTTATTTATATCCTCAAAGAGCTATAAATCCCCAGGTGAAAGTGATGGCCTTTTCACTAATCAATCTCCCCTCCTGGGGCACTTTGCATTGAAACGATAGAGTTAGTGCAGCAGGCAACCTCTTGTCTTTATGAGATGATAATTCACATCTTATTTTCGATTATCCAACTCTTAATGTGTTAATTATATCAACAATTTGGGCAAAAACTGCTTCAGCAAGGCTTATTCCACACCACTGGCATAAATGCATATTGCTGCATAAATACTTAAACCCCCCTCAGTAGCATTAAATAGTTTATGAGCATTTATGACCCATGACCTTTGTAATTGTGGTTACCTCATTGAGGTTTTATGCAGCAAAAATACTTTTCACTAAGTGTTATTACATTTTCTTCCAGGCAAGCAATGCTGCACTGGCACCACCTCCCCTGTGACCAGTGGCTGCACATCCACACAGGCTGTCTGGGAAATTTGGTTTTACAGTCTGTGAAAACAGCCTTTGTTAAACACAACATTCCTTACTAGTCGCACTGGTCAGCTGGCCCTTGCACACCTCAAAACCTCCCACCCATTCCTCCCCCATTGTAGCCACACTTTCGGTCCCATCCCCTGCCAAGGTTTGACCATCTACAACGAGGAGAGGTCACCTCACTGCTGACGCTACACACTTGTGCTTGCACCTCCACACAGGTCTTTCCCATAATGAGCTCTGCATGAAATGACCTCTGTAGTACACACCGACCTTAAGAAAGTACATGTGAAATTAAGATAGAGTACCTGCTACAGAGGACATACTATGGATAAGGCCGGTAACTGTGCACATCTTTAAAATGTTATTTAAAATTACTCAGTATTCAATCAACTCTTAAGAGATGCATAAAAGTAACAACTGAAGAAATAAATTACAGTGTTTGGAATTCAAACTAATTAAAATTCATAGAGTCTCACTGTACTTTATGTGCAGACACCAGTTCAGGGACAAAATGCCATATGTAAATGTAGGTATGCAGTACAATCTGGGGCTCCTGTTTAATCACAACTATTAATTCAAAACAAATCAATACCGGCTGCATGTGCTGGAGTAAAATATGAGTTGCATTTTGCATATATAAAATACATGTGGCATGATATGAAAATGTAAATGCAATGCATCCCACTGAAGCAGAGGGCAAAGATGTGTAGTGGAGTGGACTTAGATCGCCATCTGCTGGAATAAGCATAAATAAACTAAGACAAATTTCTCTGCTTCATCACATTTTTCACTTTCCTGGGAACAAAGACATTATATCCAATTATGAATAACTCTTGTTTTCCATGTTTTAAATTTTTCCTTAAAGCATCATAATTCATACATTTTTAATGTTTTTCCAGAGGTTGAGTCTTCACTTTTTTCCTGTTCAGTGGCGGTGTGGAAAGACTGCTGCTGTGGATGAAGTGACGACAGGAAAGCAAAGGAGGGGTTTTGAAACCTGCCTAAAAGCTCTATTGAACTCAATCAGGACATGGGTAATTAGCAGTGAAGGTAAAGCTGCTGAGTGAAAACGAGAGATACAAATAACAAGCAAGCTAACGCCGTTTTTAAAAGACTTCTTCAGAGGGACATACGGGTGGGAATCTGTAGACATTTCAACTGCAACAACAAAACAAAACATGCAAGAATTATTGTAATGCGCAAAGAAGGTGCTTGACAGTCAGTCATCTGGGCAAACTTACTGTGTTTACAAAGTGTCTTCTGGTCATTTTAGAAAACAGAACATTTTCACAATGACCACAGGGGATATTTTGTTCGCATAGTTGGCACTCGTGCATCTCATTTGAAACACTAACAATTGAGTTTGGCAACAATGTAAAGTGGACACACGGTCTCCTGTCCAATTTTAGCAGAAATTAAAAACGCATTTTCTGTGGATCAACACCATAACAACAACACGAAAAACAGTTTGCATTTTGTTTACACAGGATGTTTGTATTTATTGCAATAAATCTTGACATAATACAAATGATTTGTGTTTGTTCACTGTTGGTAACCCAAAAAAAAAAAAACCCCATTAAAGAAACACTCTCCCAAGAAGCTCTGAATTATAGATACCCTTTTGTTGATGTTGTTGATGTAAGCACATCAGTTTGACCAAACCAAATATATTACACATCATAAAAGAAGACAGTGTTAGAATAATGAGAAGTTATTGTTTTCTGATACTCGTGGCTGTTTGTTTCAGTCCTCTCTTAGATAAGCCTCAGGCACCTCTTCCTCCTCATTATTCTCTAAGGAGGC